CTCGCAAAAAAATCGTGAACATCCATTTGCAGATTCTCGAATTATCCTGCTAACAACAATAACGAACAACACAAAGGTCAAATTAAATGACATGGGAACCTCCCACGAGGCCCATTTCCGAACTTGACCTTCGTATTCTCAACTTGCCAGCTAAAAATCATGAACAACCATTTAAGGATTCTTATCTTGTTAATTAGAAAAACGGTGGCTGAGGCCAAAAATGAACTATCCGACAGCTAAAAAGTAATTATCAGATATGATAGCGATGACACTCTATTTTACTGACGTACAATAGATTCTCCGTCACATACAAGTATTTTTCCGCTATATTCAATCGAAAATTGACTTTTTCCGACGCCCGCGCTGGGTTCCGGAGGGGTGCTGGCACTCAATTGCACAGCGTACTCCGCCCACTGCGTCGTCCACGCCGCATCCGCTCCGCGCCGCGCGGGCCAGCTGGGGACTTGGCGGGAGATCTATAATCCCGCAGCCAATCAGAGTACGTCTTGCTTACGTCATGCATACATTTCCTTGCTGGCCTGTCTTTTGCCGAAAGTTTTGACAGCGGTGAGCCGATTGTTTTGACAGCAGATATCCTAGTTTCGACGCTTTTGTTTTACCATCGAGCTCCAAAATGCCAAAGGCCAAAGGTAAGCTACCTCTATATCAAGCTAAACATTACCCAAACACTAGTGCTCGGTCCAGATCCCGGTAACTATACTGTGATAGCCACTTCGGAAGATAAGAACTTCTGATTTTTGTTGACAAAAGCCCTGGACAAAGCCGTATGAAATCTGATGACACGTCCTGACAGAACGCATGGAAAAAATAGAATATTTTGATTCGTCGCGGGGTGACAGGTTTCCTGCACAGCTACACTCATGTATACAATGTCGGCTTTCATACTTTCAAAATTTGTTTTGGGGGAAAGTAGCAAAACGTAATTACATCTGAAAAAAAAAAACAGACTATAACTGGTGTCTTGAATCGCGTCTACTTGAAATCTCAGCGTCATCCATGAACGATTTACTGCGTGTTTGGACGTAAATAATCGCCAACGACATTTAGTTAGTGACAATTTTTGAAACTTACCTCGTATAGCACAGAGGAAACCGGCGGCCGTGCCGCGAACCCCGACGCCCGAGGAGAGGGCCAAGGAGCTGGCCGCTGTGGAGAGGCTGCGCCAGCTCGGAACCAGCAAGGGGTAATTTTGACTAATTTTCTTAAGAAAGCAATACTAACTTACTTTGACAAATCAGCTTGTGGAAATTTTTGGTTTCCAATGTGTGCACCCTTATCAACGGATCTGCCGTCATATTCATCAAATATTTTTATCAAAGGGATCGCTCCATGATCCGTCTTTGTTATTCATGATTTGCTCTATTGACATGTGTGTGCGATGTCTCTGGCTTGTGTGTTTATGGCTTTGTTTTTCCCTTTTGCTGCAGCTACAACAGAATGAGTGAAAGAGTGGCGTCCGCATTTATCCAGTATCGGAAGGGCGGGGTAACAAACAAGGAGCGGCGTAACCTCGCGTACCACTCGCTCAGCGGCCTGCTGACTTTTGTAAGTGTAACCGTAAAATCATAATTTTTGTGTCATTGAAATTTTAGTAGAAAAATTGCAAACTTCCTTTGGGCAAGAAATTTCTGTTTAGTGACAATGGTAGAAATAGGAATTTGTTTTGAAGGAAAGGAGCAAGACACAATTGCAATATGTGATGAAAATCAGAAAGTACATTTCTTAACAAATTACCTTACTAATAACAGCATCAAGAAATAGTAAGTATTTCACATGCATATGACTGAATAATGTAGGATCATGGACATAAACTAATTATTCTAATTTGCATACAGGGACTCCACCGTGCTCCCCCGGGCACATATTACATCTACAGCCAGGAGGTCCGGGGGGCCGTGCGTGATTGCTACCCAGGTGGGGAGGAGAGCACCGGGCCGATCAACTCCAACAACCGGCCCACCAAGAACATTGACGCCGACGACCTCTTCGAGGACAAGGCGTGAGGGCGCCAGGCCGAGTGCGACCCCATGGAGAGTGGAAAAGAAAAGGAGAAGAGTGGAAAAGAAAAGAAAAGGAAACATGAAATAAAGTCATGAAAATGAACCGTTATGTTGTCTGGCACCTCTTTCTGTACAATATTGCAACATAGAAAACATCCAAATACATACATCATGTCACATAGAGATAATATTACAAAAACACTGCACCATCAATTATCCACCGTGAAAAAGGTGAAAAGCCCAGATTCCTATCTAAATATTATGTACATATGGAAAACACCTTGTGTTGTAGAGCCATACACAATATGGGTAAAAAAATAATTAAACCAGAGAGCACAGGTTTTCTAGGAATTCAAGTGATACTTATATCAGTTATAAGGGGAAAAGAATCCTAAAATGAACATTTGCACTTCGTGGTCCCTTACATAGATTTTACACTCTACAGGTAGGAAAGGTGTAAAGGCAATGGAATGAGTAAAATTGACCGTTGTTCAAAAGTGACAAGCCTACATTCCTATCTAAATGCTATGCACACAGTTGTTGGATAGCCGAACACAAAACAGGTCGACGATAATGGAGCCAGAGAGTACAATCGAATATATTCTACAATTCCTAAAAAAATTCTAAACATTCGAGTTTTACTTATGAGGGGAAAAGAATCCTAGTAAAAACAGTGGCACTTTTGTGGTCCCCAGCATAGAATATACTCTACACGATCGGCGTGGATGTTCGTGTACGAAACGGGGCATACGATAATCATCTCAATTTACCCCACCAACCTCTGCTTGGAGAGTACATAGAATTTACAGGTGGGGAATGTGTACAGGAATGTGTAAAGTTACAAGAGAGAGAAAAAGTAAGGGATGGGATATGAGCATACACTGATTCAGAAGGGTAAATAATGGTGAGTGTCCTGCCTTCAGCCCAGTATACAGAAATATATACACAAACCAGATTACATTGTAATCATTGTTGTACCCCAGACATTTTTCTGCAACCGGAACTATCAATGGGGTAAACCACCCTTTCTTCTTTCACATACCATACACAACACAGAAGTTTCATGAAAGCAGTTCTCTCCCCTGAAGTACACGTTGGTTCATTATAAAAAGTACATTTCTGCATCTATATAACGTTACATAAATAAATAAAGCACACGGTAATCTAGAGAAAACATAATGCCAAATTACAATACATATACCATTAAGGATTTTACGATACTGCACTGATACCCTGAGGTTCCACTGCTATACTGAAAAAATGTAGGTTTCCCCTACTGTGCTGATTATCCCTTCTCTTTTGGCAATCATGTAGGTATACAACTATGGCGCATTGAAATTACATAAGGTTGACATAACCATGCAATACTGATAACTTATTTCCACAAATTGAAGCAAAAAATGGTATCACAACCAACAACTCTTTGCAAATACAAACATCATTTTCTTCCTAGTCTTTTTGCATCTTGGGATTTTGTGGACATTTTTTGCTTGAGCGTCTCATGTGGTCTGTACCTCCACAAACACAAGACTTTCTCGATATTGAAATAACAGTTGCGCTTTCCTCACGTGGCATTGCTGTTCCGTCCAGGGCGGCCTTGGCCTCTTCTTCCTCTCGGTCGGCTTCGTCCTCATCCTCGTCTTCGTTGTCACTCTCGCTGTCAACTTCCCCTTCCGCTTCTCCATAGCTGTGTTGCACTGGTCTGTTCTTATTCCACTTCTTGCGTTCCTCTTGCTGTACAGCTCGTGCAACCTGTGGAATATAAAAATAAAGTAGTATCATAGAGATTGACTCTGGACACAGCCCTGGGAATTGTCACAGACAAGACAAGGTGGAGATCATCCTTCCTGATACCTGGCGATTGAAAGAGTGACAGCATTGGACACATATCAATCAAGAGACAAATTGGCCAATAATTATTTCCTGGTCAACACACAATGTAATATAATCAATTTGGGACAGATGAAGGGAGATTTGGCAAAGCCAAGTATAATAAGGAAGTTAAATCCACCTTCAAAGCTATTCTCCTGTCCTTTGCATCCTTTGTTTTGAGTTTTTCCAGCTCCTTCATCCTCTTCTCGTTTCTTGCTGTAGCAGCTTCAACAACACCCTAATGCACAAAAGATAGTAGGAAGAAATTATTAATGACAGATGATGAGCCACCAGAATGATACATGTTGGTTATAATTCACAACATTTGACACTGCCTATAAAATGACAGCAACACCAACAACCTATGGCCACAAAACAGAACACAGTATTACAGGTAAGTCCATTACTTTTTTTGTTTGTGTTATTGTCCTGTCACACTGTATGAAAAACCACGTTTCCAAGAGTTTCCAGTCCCGCACACGCCCGTGAAATTCGCCGTGTCCTGGTCGCGTCCATGGATTTCCGGGCTCCGCATGTACGGCCCCGGATATTTCCTTACACTCCCGGATTCGTGCTCGCCGTGCACGTGCACGGAAATTTACGCCCCGCACACTTGGCGTGTGTTGGGGAGCGGCTATCAATAAGGGCTAATTAGGTACTGCGTGTATTCATGTTTCAGGTGATAATTACTTGAACCAAAGTTGCCAGTACTTTAATCTAAGCAAATTAGAATGATCAAGGATTGTTAATACAACATTTGAACCTATGCATCCTTGGCTTGATTTATCGTGATGTCGTCGGCGTCCATACGACAAAGCACATTTGAGCTTAGGGCGCCCCGACGCTGGGGTTATATGACCTACTCGGTCAACATGACCTAAATCTACACTCCGGTCTAAATCTGAATTTTTTATTTTGGAAATAATAGTTTATCCGTGAGGTTCATTACCATGATGTAATCAAACGCTTGACTAAAGGGGTTTGAACTAACGTGACCTGATCAGTTTGTTATGATTTTAGGTACATGTATAGGTAATAATATGCAAGCTTTACATTGTAGTTCGGCCGATTGTGTCTGACATGGCGTCCATTTATGTGAATAACCTTTGTGTAAACAAAGGGAGAACTCACAGCGTCCCCACGCCTGGTAAAATACTGAAATCCAGCAAAACAAGTCAACCCTCATGACATTGATTGTGGATTTTGGATACATTTACAAAGAGTAAGGTTATGTTGGAGTTAAAGTGCGGCTTTATTTCACTCAGTGAGCGACAAGTTGTGTAATTCTAGAACGAATAAAGCCATGTAATCATGACGAATTAGAATTTTGAAGATCATTTGTCTGCCTTGAAATAAATACATTCACACAATCAGAAACATCCTATCACCCAAGTGTTCAGACTGCACAGGCGATTTAACTTAAAACCTATAATATAAAAACAAGATCGTTGTAGTATTGAACGCGATCACGTGATTATATGACTGACATACGAAAGCCGACAAGGCTCTTGACAATTTGAATTGTTTTCATTACCGAGGGAAATGTTGTGTTTGTATTGTTCCCATGATTACAATGAAAAGAAACAAGTAGACGTTGATGCTTGATGAATGGAGCCTTTTCATCTGGACAAAATTGTTGCTGTCTGACGTTCAAAACATTCGTTAAAAAATGATAAATGACTTCTCCTCGAAATGTGTCCATACAGACGTCCGCATCTTTGCCAGGCTTGTTTATAAAACGTCTAGTACATGTACACGTAACTTCAAATGAAATTCAAAAATGCCTTCGACTTTTGACTTAGATTTTCGTTTTTCCATGTCCTGCAGGCCAGGCTGGAGGCAAACAGGCAGACTGCACACCCAGGCTCAGATCTAAAGGCGAGGGTGCTGTGTTAAAGCGCCCGGCAGGCTCCGACGACCCAGG